TCCTGGTTTGTTAATGTTGTTTTTCAGTCCGTTTTCCGCTCTGACTCAGCTGAACACTATCTAATACAATACTCAACAATATCCCAGAAACTCCCTGATCCTTCTAATGTTTTGGAAACAAACTCTTTACATGAACAGGTAGGCAGATATGAGCCTAGCAGGTTGACACTTACGCTGAGCAGGCCTCCCTGGCTCCTGGTGTGGCCAAACACCTTCTCCACGGTACAGTCCTTCAGGGGGTAGGCGTGCTGGCCGGCAAATTTGTCTCCGTTGGTGGGATGCAGTGGGCTGCAGCGCTTGGCCTGCAACAGCATGTCAGAGAACAGGAAGAACATCTTGGGCTTAGCGTCTGCACCTTTAGGAGGAACCATCTTCAGCCAGCCCTCACGGATGTACCACCTCCCTGTGAGAGGAGCAGACAGAAACAGAAAAAATCATTATCTGCAGCTGCTTGTCTGGGTTGCAAGGATGGCCTTTCCAGCATGCACTGAGACACCTGGGGACAGATTTCACATCTAACACAGAGACGGATAGCGCTGTTGTGTCTATTGGCCATTTAAAGTTTCTAAACTACCTGACTAAGGATGGGTTTCAATAGCAGATTCCTCATGTAATCATAAGTTTTTTGTTTTATAGTTAATGAAGACATTGTAGTTAGTGTATGGTTCTGATTTCATTATAGCATAGCATAGCATATATTATAGCTAAACAATGGAGATTCTAATGTTAGTGTATAATGTAGGGCTACCCAAAATGGAGCCTACTGGCCAAGATGTTTATAGCAAAAAACATTTCAAACTGATTAATAATATAAATAAGTTGTTTCTTCGTGAGATATAAGTTATTTTTTAAATATCTAGGATCCCTAATCAAATTATTTTTCATAGTCTGAACATGGCTTCTCAATTGGTCTCATGTGGGCACCCACATTTTCCCATGGTCATTAGGTCAAAACATATTTTATTTTCCAGGATATTTCCAGGATATTTTCTTTACAATACAGGACATGTTTACTAACCGTCATACAAGCTGCTGTTTTGGGCAAATTGACTACATTACTTTAGCTACAGTCCATAAGTAACAGTTCAAATCAAGGAGAATTTATTTAATTTTACAGAAACGTCTTCTTCTAGAAAGTGTTAATTACACGTACAGTTATGTATATGCATGTAGATATGAGAGTTTTGCTCCCAGCTGTGGAAAAAATAGACTCGATGCCAAAAATGTTGCTGCAAGTGAGTTCCACTTTGCTTCTGGTAATCCAGCTTTCAAGTATCATACAGCTCATCTTTCCAACAGGCAAGTTTCAAACTAAATATGCACCCAGGTTAACGTAGGTAATTTGAGCGAATGGCTAAAATTCTAGCTTTTCCAGGACGTGTGGAAACCCTGCTAATGTATTTTTCAAATAGGATAGTAAACACATATACAATGTCATCATTACCTTTTTTTTTACATAAAATATACACATATTTTTATCCCTGAGAGAGTGCTGATGGATCAGAATGCATTGCATACTTCCACACACATCGACAAAGAAAAACACACACAGCAAACACTGGCACATGGAGCTAGTAAACACACATATAAAGTGTCATCTTTTCAAAGTCAGACATTTTTGACCATACACTCACTCACACTAGCCCCATTCAGAACACGTCTGTGACCCACCACTTGGGAAAGCATGCAGTATGCGTTTGCTTTTGGCCCTCCAAGGGAAGAAGTTTGAGCATTCTTGTTGTAAGACTTCCACCACATATTTTGTCACTGCTCTGTGACAGTCATTAACTCTGTGCTGACTTATTCAACCTTTTGCTTCAAGGGAACAAAATAAACCAAAATGTCAAGAAAGGAAAGAAAAAACACATGTTCTACATTAAACAGAAAATACAACTGTACACCTTAACTACCAAACTAAGACCTTGTTAAAACACACTTCATTCAAACTATGGCACTGTAGGCTTTTTAGTCAATTGATTGTTTTGGAAGTTCTTAAATAGCACCACTACACACTACACAGTACAATATGATTAGACATTGCTACAGATGTTTCATAGCAACAGATTTACACATTACTGACAGCATAACTAGTGAAGACACAGACTGGTACAACCTGATTTAGTAACTGTGAAACTAATAGTCATCCTATACCACTGTCATACAGGTAACTTATGTATGACGAGTTCCACTAAACTCACTGAATAGCCACATTTGACCCATTCATTGAAGACTGTTAATCTCTGGTCATCACCTCTCACATGCTATAACTGTAGTTCCATAAGCAGTATTGTTTAAACCTCAGAAATACACGGAATTACATTGGATTAAATACCAAATAAAGACATGTTTCAGTTTCAATTCTCTTACATGATGTCTCTAGTTGTTTATTGACCTTAATGTCATTATCAATAACATAAAATAAATGACAATCCTAAAAAGAAACTCTGGTACTGCTGATCTATGGGCCAAATCAGGGTAAAGAAAAACACTTGGGTTGGGTAAGAGCCGGTTCAAACTAGGCAATGCTGATCAAATATGAATCAAGATTTTGTTCTGCAATTCTGCAATGTTTTTCTCTCCTTAAAACTTTTCACAAACATATTTTAGTGTACTGTTTATCTGTAATATGAGATTGTGTGACTAGGTGAGCCTGTTACGAACAAATCGAAACTAAGCACAGCCAATAGGAGCAGCTCAACTCGCAGTATGTCACCGCTGCTGGCAAGGTCAACTACATTGTGACAGCCATAATGCCAAACTAGAGGCTTCAAAATGGTACTCCACAAACAAATGGGTGACTCCAAGGCATGTTTATGCTGCTCAGCTCATTTTCAGAATTTAGCTCAGGTTGACATCAAAAGCTGATTAGAGATCTTTGAGTTTTAGTGATTTAAACTTAAGGTACTTGAAAATGTTAAAAGTTGAACCAGATTAAAATGTGATAAAGGATTCAAAAGGATATGGATTCAATAATGAATTCAGATTTGAACAAATAGCACTGAACGGTAAACCTAATTATCTCCCATTGACACATTCATTGACCAACACACAGACATCCCTATGTCAGTGTAAATGTGGTAATAATCATTCGCCTCAGCATCACATTGCAGAACTGCAGAGAACAAAAATAATGAGACTAACTAAGCCATGCTGAATTGAAAAGATAAATGAAGGCTGTTTGAAGGGAGCAACGGACACGAGAGAATCTTAGACAGACTCAGTGGGAGGTAGGCATGTCAGGGTGTGGCTGCTGAGGAAAGCTCTCATCTCTTTCACCATGATTGGCAGCAGCATGATGATAGCTAATAAGCAAGAGGCTGACATTTGGATAGATAAGATGAAAATTCAGCCTGGGTCCAGGGTGTTTTTGTAATTGCCCCAGCCAGTAGTCTGTGATTGCAGCTAGCCTGAGTGGCCGGAGCTGTGCCTCTGGGGCTCAGAGAGGACATTTTCAGCTACCGACAAGCCCACTGAGATTAAGTGGTGGGGCCAGGCAGGGGTCAAATTGCTTTTAAAATGCCATGGGTCTCAAACGGAAAAACAGTCAAGAGACACCCCATGACTCTCTCAGGTGTTGTGTGGAGATTGGAATGGTGTTGTGATCGTTCTATTAAGTATGGTATAAATAAAACCCTGTTTGAGCCTTATACAGCCCTTTAAAGACATGTAGCAAGTAGTCTTTTTAATGTCTTGTTACAATAACACTCAGAACGCGCTGTTCAGGTAATTTCGACAAGACAAAACTGCAGTAGGAAATGTCCTAATGCAACAGATCCCTTGCGCCCTCATCTCTTTCACAATTAACTGCAAGACCTGAGGCTTTTATCCTTGTGGTAACTGTGGTTACGAAGAAAGGCATGTTCTCTGCTGTTTGCAAATACATTTTCTGGCTTCATAACTGCAGAGAAGGGACATGTCATTAAGTTGAATGCAACGCTGTAAGATAATTTTATGTGGTACAAGTGATAGGAAGAGGACTGGGATGCCTGTGTTGCACTGTGTCTGCTGAATGTACGTATACACACACTGTAAGTATAGGGCTGTGTTGCTTTCAATCAATCAAAACACAAGTATTCAATATAATTATTATTAATATGCCACAAATGTTTTGATTCCAGCTTTTAAAATATGAATTTTTGCCGATTTTATGGCTGTAAAACAACCAACAACCCAAGGAGAGATTGGCCAAAATCCAAAGATACTCAAAGTTTAAAATCATGTATGCCAAAGAAATGCACCGAATCCTCAAATTTTAAGAGCTGGAAGCAGCAAATGTTTGTCTTTTTTAAAATTGATTATCTTTCAGTTTTGACATTTGGTTGGAAGAAGAAAAAAAAACAAATTTTGACAATGTCAATGCATGGGATCTGGGAAATTGTGATTGTTTTTTTTGTGTCATCACTTCATCATTTTATCCTATTAGACTATGTTGTGAAATGTTGTCATAATTAGTGTTAAGTTACAGCCAAAAATGTATTTTGTGAGTTCACAGTGACCTTTGACCACCAAAACCTAATCAGTACATCCTTGAGTCGAAGTGGACATTTGTAGAAATTCAAGACATTCCTGAGACATCTTGGTCCCAAGAATTAGACAGGACAGGCTGATGGACGGGTGTACGGACGGACATACCGAAAAGTGCCAGCACAGAGGCATAGAAATGCAATTAATAATATAAGTTGGACTTTGATAAATACATAACATATCATCATTTAGTAATAACAGAATACACCATCACTTTTAATTCATGCATGGGCAGTAATGTGTTACATGTTTGCTCAAGCATCAGAATGCTGCCAGTGTCCAGCGTGCTGAAACTGATGCATTTCAGTAGACATCAAGCGAGTGATTATCCAGATGTGCTGGGATCTCCCTCTGCTCCTTTGTCAAACTATACACCTTACCAAGGAAAACAAAAAGAAAGAAGGGTCATTACATCATAACACCAACATTCTAATGGTGCCAGTTCCATTGAAGCCTATGGGAGATGCATGGAGAAGCACACTAAACCGTAACATATCTATGTCATAAGACCTTTCATGAAGAGATGCCTTTATCAAATGAAGGAAAACACTTTTTCCAGATTGCTGTTTGTCTTTAAATAGTATCCAAAGATGCTTACTTTACAGGCCTCATGGCGAGTCAAATTAAAATGATCAAAGGGTGCAAGTGTAGCATCCATTGAAACGTGATTTTAGGATAAATATTGTGACCAAAATCAACATATATGTCGCTTTATATATGCCTATAATAAAATTTGGACATTATTTGAAGACCAACAGCAAATAAACAAAATGCGTACATTGGGAAAAATCTGTCAGCATTCTCTGTATTCTTGTGTGTCCTTTCATTTAGTACATCTCTTCATCAAAGGTCATACGATGTAGATACGTTGGGTTTTAGAGTGATTCTCAATACATTTCCCATAAGCTTCAATAGAACTTGCACCAATGTTTGTCACCAAGCAGTTTTAGAATGTTGGTGTTATGATGTAATGAGTTTCCTTGCATCTGACCAGGCATGTGTGCCTCCAGGTCTATCTATATACCTGTGTGGTTTCAGTTTAGGTGGTGAGGTTTGTACTATTATACTGTTTGTACTAAATAGATAATATCCAATGATAACAGCTATTATCTGTTAAAACCAATCAATGAAAAGGAACTAATGCAACTTCTTTAAAAAAATGTTTTCTTATGAATTAAAACTAATATCGGTGCTACTCTGGAAAGCAAACTCTGGTTTTCCTGACCCTGAAACTTTTCATATATCCCTTATCAGAACCCCGATAGACAAAGTTGACAGACTCAAAGAGGTTAAAATAAATGTCAACTTTTGGAGGAGTCTTTTTGTGGACCAGGTTCTCTTCAGACCCCCTGCCTACATCTGACCATCCACAGTGCTTTGAGGCAGCAGCAAGTTCAAAGAGCAGGAAGTGCCAAGCACTCCTCTCCATGTCCAGGCCTTTCAGCATCCCTTGTCAAAGAGCACCTCTGCTCTACTACAAAGTATTTTGGGCTGGACCAAGTGGGGGGGCTGAGGAAGGTAGGGCAGGAAATATATATTGATCTACAAAGGGTCCGCTTGCTCCTGATGTGTCCGAGGCTAGAGAAATAACAGAGGCACTGATACGTATTGGAAAACAACTCAACAGTCAGTTGATGGAGTCAACAGATTCGATTCTAATCTGTACGAAATTTGAAAATAAATTCCAAGTAACTCTATGTAAGTGTATGTGTGTTTGTGACCTACCTACCCCTCTCCAGATGGCTAGCTACAGTCCCAAATCACGTAAATGTGAGACATAATTAAATTGCATTTAAAGTCAAACAAAAGGGAAGGTGTTAGGCTTGTGCCGATTGGTTATCAGATCTTATATTGATGATTGTTATTTCATACGCCAATGTTAAGGCAATTTTAATTATCTATTTTTTTCCTAGAATCTGCGCCCTACTGTGCATTTAAAGATGTTCCTGGCCAAGCTGACCCATTAATCAGCAGTGAATTTTGAATCCTTAATTACAAACCAGTTAGCCATTTCCTTTCCATGGATCTGACATAACGCATCTCCAATCCCCCAAATGCCTGCTTAACCAAAACTTTGCTCTGCACTCCATAAGAGTGGTTAATGTTATGGCTATGATTTGGACTGTAATATTAAACACAAGAAAATAATATTAAACGGAACATGGCGCTGTGATATTGTCACACCAAGCACAGACACGCACACTTTTGCCATGGCCTAATGCTGATTGTGTAGTTTTTACGTTTTTAATGTCGCAAAATGCAACTTTCGTTGATGTTCCACAATGCTTATGTTACTTTTTCATAATGTTTGTAAATGTGTCTGGTTCAGAACATCATGGTCTTGTTATATCAGTTAGTAATGTGTCAATTTTTGTGCTTGTTTATAGTGTTAACCAATAGTGAGGTAGCTGTTATATTTCATGACCCAGTCATCCATGCCTGCATTTCATTGTTGTGCTATGATGTACAGTAACTTTCCACTCCCATCGCCACTAGAACTCAGATTGCATATGGGCAATCTCAAGTAGTCATGATTGGACGATTGAATTCTAGAAGCGGTATTATAAAATATGCTGGGGGCAACACACTACTTGCCATGATGGTTACAAACGGGTCTTCAAAAAGCCCACCTGAACAGTGTTACACCAGTGTTAAACTTACAATGTGCTTAATTTAATGAAGTAGTCTGATTGACAAAAAAACATACATAAACATTACAGAAAACGCATAGCACAATTATGTGCAACTGTCAGGAACACAAAGGGACATAAATCGGAAAAAATCAATGTGAAACAAGATAGAAAATGTGAGACATCTTTGTTTTAAATGGAAGGAACAGGCAGGCAGACACAGATCTGTGGCCTCCCAGGGAAACAGGCTGACTGTCTGCTGTATCGATGTCCCATTGATTCAGGCTTTGTGTCTCACAATCGCCCCCCTCATCTCCTACAGAGCTACTTAATATGTTTGAGGGGCTCCGACGCTTCTCATCTATAAAAGGCAGAGCTTTTCTTTTACCCACATTAGAGGTGGCGTTGGTGGGGAGGAAGGAGAATGGGTCGGCGTGGGGTTTGCGGGGCGGGCTAGTGCTGCTGTTGCTCTGAAGTCTGCCTGGTGGGACCGGAGCTTTATTGGCTGGAAAGGAAGCCGGCAGAGTTGCGAGGGTCTGAGAACTTGGATGAGAGGAAGCTTTTGAAACTTCCTACATCGGCATTAGAGAGATGAGCTGCTATTCAGCGCTCGCTCCCAGCCAGCACCAACACAATCCACAAACAGACATAAAACAAGCCCACATATCCAAGCAAACAAACACACACTCGTGGCTGCGTACACACACACAGCACACACACACACTTTGGCTTCTTTTTTATCTGCTGGTTGGTGAGATGAGGCTGGGCTCTAATTGGTCCTAGGGGAGATTGGCAGGGTGAGCGGAGCAACGAATAGGCCAGACAAACAACAGGAGGGGGAGTGGCAGGAAGAATAGGGCCACTGCTCCACAAGTAGAGAAGGAACCAGAATAGAAGATGGGAAATAACTGAGCGAGGGAAGGCAGGATGAAGGGAGAGAGCACATTCACTTGCTAACAGTTAGCAGTAATGCTCTATTAATATAGCACGCTCAGTGTGAAAAACACTTCAGTTTCCTGCAGAAAGTCCAATGAATTCCATTGATTAAAAGCCATCCAGGCAAGTGCTTTTAGAATGTCTCCATTCTTACTCATTTCCCTTCAGTTTATCTATACTAATCTTGCTTCCCACCCCAGTGTGTCCCAAAGGACGCAGATGCAGAAGAGGTAGAGAAGAGATAGAGGTGGTTCTTGGAGAAGATGAAAAGAATATGCGAGCATAGGTTCTAACCTGCAGCCAACACCTTCGTCTTTCGCCCTTTCAGCAGTCTCTGCACTCTGCAAAGCTGCAGGTGGTTCTCATGGCACCGGATATTGTCCTGGATTCGCTCAGACAGCCCGCATATTGCAGTCACAGCCCCTACAGCAAACACAAACAAACATTTGTATTACCATACATTTGTTGATGAAATCCTAAAATAATATCTACGTCAGACCTAAGCATAGGCCCTATAGGCAGTCA